AGTATATACTCTGAAGTTTGACAAGGATATGTGTGTGTGTGTGTGTGTGTGTGTGTGTGTGTGTGTGTGTGTATTCACGTGCATGCATATGCATGCCTCTGTGAGTGCATGAGTCTTGGAGCTTGATCTCAGAGCTTAGGTTCATGGGCTCTACAAATAGAGCCACAGTTCCACTTCTGGATTTTTTTGGAAGTTAATTGGAGATGAGAGTCTCATGGACCTTCCTGCCCAGGCTGGCTTTGAAATGCAACCTCAGATCTCATCCTCCTGATTAGCTAGGATTACAGGCATGAGCCATTGGCATTCAGCTTGACAAGGATGATTATCTCCAAAATGGTAGCTGTCATAACATGTCATAGAGGGCCAAGCTGTTTATGTTGAGAGCACCTTTTGCTTTTCTTGATATTTCATAAATGGAGACAAGTAAGTTGTGACTATCAGTATTATTTTTCAGCAGATCTTTACTACTTACTTGATTGATATTACTTTTCATTTTGAATTTAATTCATTAGATGATTTTGATGACATTGGTAACAAATTCAACTGCAAATATAAAACTATAAGGAAAACATAATGCCAGGCATAGTGATGCATGCCTGTAATCCTATGACTTGGGTGAGCACTTCAGGAGAATCAGGAATTTGGAGCCACCCTGGACTGCGGAACAACAAAGATCCTCTATGTGTCTCTTTCATTATTAAGTCATAACTCCAATGATGTGGATTATTTACCAAATTTGTATTTGTCAATTTCCATTGAATTTTCTTATTCATTAAATGTCAAAAATAATTTTTCCAATAAATATACCGTCAACTTGGTACTTCAAAAGGAAATGTTGTATCTGGGCACCAGTGGCTCATACCTCTAATCCTAGCTACTAAGGAGGCTGAGATCTGAGGACTGTACTTTGAAGCCATTCAGAGAAGGAAAAGCTGTGAGATTCTTACCTCCAATTAACCACCCAAATTCTGGAAGTGGAGTTGTGGCTCAAGTGGCAGAGTGCTAGCTCTGAGAAAAAACAAACAAAACAAAAAACCAAGGGCTGGGAAGGTGGCTCAGTGGTAGAGTTCTTGCCTTGCATGCATGAGGCCCTGGGTTCTATTCCTCAGCACCACATAAACAGAAAAAAAAGTCAGAAGTGGCGCTGTGGCTCAAGTGGTAGAGTGCTAGCCTTGAGCTGAAGAGCTGAGGGATAGCGCCCAGACCCAGAGTTCAGGCCCATGACTGGACCCCCCTCCAAAAGTACAAAACAAAACAAAACAAAAAAACAAAAAGCCCTTAGGAACCGTGTTCAGGCCCTGAGTTCAAACCTCAGGACTGGCACAGAATAAAAGGAAATTTCATATAAGATGGATCAACAGGAAAAATCTTACCTTTATTTTATTTGTGTCAATATTTAATATTCTCAAATACAGTATAGAAACATTAAAATGATACAAAACAGGCTTCAAATTAGATTTTGTTGATATTTAATAGTCAGAAAATGATACAGCTTATTAAATATAATGAATAATAAATATACTATATCAAATTTGTCTTGAATTTGCCTTTCACAATTTTTTGAATTAATTTAAGTAGCTTTACAAAGGCATTTAAGTTCAAATCAGTTAATAAATACAATGTGTCTTGATCAATGTTATCTCTTCCTTTCAAATTTATTTTTTCTGGAAAATGTAAAACATATAAAAAGGCTGTATGACAACACTGTAGGCCCTGGTATTAACTGCAAATACAGTACTGTATGTTCCATATTACATTGCCTGTCTGTGACTATTGTATCAGAAATCTGAGGTTCTTGAGGATTAAGTAACAGATTTGTGTGATCAGACTTTGCATGGAGTTCTATTTGCTGGAACATATTTAAAGAAATACTTAAAGCTCAATCTAAGATAAAGTCTGATTCTGTTTTAGTCAACATGTCCCATTCAGGATATTGTGCGGCAGAATTCTGTTGAAGAGGTTCTGCTATTGTTACATCAGAAGTTTGGTGCTTGATGATAGGCAAGTAAAGGGACAGAGAGTGAGAAGGCAAGTAGCATATCTACAGTATATTATAGCACTTTAAAGTCATGGGCTGTGGATTTGCTACTAAGTAGACACTGGACCCAGAGGGAAAACCCAGTGAAACATTGGTATTGTATTTCAGTTGCTAAAGAAAAATGGCTTGCATTTCCTTAAGCTGAGTTCAAACTTACAAGCATAAATTACCACTTCCCAGATATTCCTTCACCTACGAATGATACAAAAAACACAGTAAAGCACTTTCATTTGAATGGAAATTCATACAAATGGCAGGACTTGAATATAGACAGAACAGTTTTCACATGGATTCCTTGAATCCCAATTCCATGTCTCCTTTTTCAGAAATATTTTCTTCTTTTTCTTTAGTGTATTTGAGTTGTTTTGTATTTTGTCATTAGATTCTGCATTTTCTTCCTTTCCAAACATTGTTTGCCATTCCGAAATCTTTTGTATTTCTATTTTTTTGGTGTGTGTGGGGGGTCCGGTTGTGGGGCCTGAACTCTGGGCCTGGGCGCTATCCCTCAGCTCTTCAGCTCAAAGCTAGCACTCTACCACTTGAGCCACAGCACCACTTCCAGCTTTTTTCTTTTTGCTTATGTGGTGCTGAGGAATCAAACCCAGGGCCTCATGCATGTAAGGCAAGTGCTCTACCACTGAGCCACCTTCTCAGCCCCTGTATATCTATTTCTATTTACTAATTTTATGTTATATTTAGTTACTAACAAACTGCCATATTTTCTTTTACAGTATGAAATTTCAATTTTATTATTAGTAGAAAATTATAGTTATTATAATGATATAGTCATCTACTAGAGTACCTTTTATTTAAATTTTTGTTGTTATTATAAAAGTGATGTACAGAGGGGTTGCACTTACATAAGTCAGGTAAAGAGTACATTTATTTTTGGACAGTGTCACCCCTTTTCTTGCAAGAGTGCTTTAACTTGGCATGCTTAAGCCAGTTTTAAGCATAAGGGATTCCTGAAAAAGGAATATATATATTGCTCTCTCATATTCAGAGGTAAAGTATAATGTTTTCAAGTTATTTTGACTGGACAAGCAAATATAAATTATTATCTACATAAATTACCATCTACTTTGGATAAGTTGCATTGTTGTACAATTCTTTCACTTTTTACTTGTATTTGAAATGTTTCTTTGTCAATTTTTTTGGTTAGTCATGGGGCTTGAACTCTGGGCCTGGGTTCTGTCACTCAGCTCTTCAGCTCAAGGCTAGAGCTCTACCACTTGAGCCACAGTACCACTTCCAGCCTTTTTTGTTTATGTGTGGTGTTGAGCAATGGAATCCAGGGCCTCATGCATGCGAGGCAAGCACTTTACCACTGAGCCACCTTCCCAGCCCCTATAAAAATATTTTTAAATGAATAGACTATTCATAAGGAATCTTAAACTTTACAGAAAATTGAGCAAATAATAGACTCCACATACACTCTCCCTCTCACTTGCAGTTTCCTTACTAATATCCTAGATTAGTTTGATATAGTTGTTACAAGTGATGAAACAACATCAATACAATTAACTAAAGTGCACAGTTTAGTAGTCACTCTTTGTTTTACATAGTTATCTAGGTTTGACAAATGTGTGAGCTCTTGAATCCAAGAATATAACATTATAGTAACATAACATAAAACTGCCATAAAGTTTCACCTCTTCATTCACCCTCATTGTCCCTCTGCAATCTCTGAACTTCTATCTCTTTAAAATCACCTTTTCCAGAATTTCTCATCATTGGGTTTTTTCTCCCACTAAGCAATATGCATTTAAGTTTCATCCATATATTTCTGTGGCTTTAGATTTATTTATTAGAAATACCTTTTAAGATATCAAAAGAAAGAACTTAAAAACTGCAATAAATTATATCTTGTTTAGAATCAGATTTAATACACAATCTCTAGAAAGAAAATTTGAAAGATAATTGGGGAAATTAGAAGCATTATGGAGTATTTGGTATCATGACATTTTTAAGTTTTTCAGATGTCATCATTAAATTGAAGTTATAATTAAAATTATACTATCCTATCCAGGGTCTATAATCCTAGCTATTCAGGAGACTGAGATCTGAGGATCATCATTTGAAGCCAGCTCAGGCAGTAATGTCTGTGACACTCTTATCTCCACTAAACTATCAAAAAAGCCAGAAGTGGAGCTATGGCTCAAGAGGTAGACTGCTAGCTAGCCTTGAATAAAAGAAGCACAGAGACAGTGCCCAGGCCTTGAGTTCAAGCTCTAGAACTGGCACAAAAAAAACCCTATCCTTTAGAGAAGAAAATATAAAAGTATTGACATAAGAAGGAATTACCTCCACTCAGTGGGATAGTCACTTCAGAATTCAGGGAAATATAAGCGCACAGAAGCATTCTCATTTGAATTGTTTTTCCTTGAGTATCATTTCTGTAACCAAAACCATGATCAAGTTGCACACATGTCCAAATTCTGAACAAATCTGGGAACTGCCTAGTCAAAGCTTTCTTTTTGTCCCATGGTCATACGCTTTGTCCCTGAGGTCATACCCTTCCAGTTTCTTGATTATCATAGTTTGAAAAGAGATGCTTGGATTTGTGATGAACCTGAAGTAGAGCATTGCACTTCTTATGTTAGGGGTGCAATGAAAAGCCCTTAACATACACATACGATTTCCATACATTTTGATACTACTTAAAAAATATTCAACTTAGATTACTATCAGTCAAAAACAAAGTAACATGATTTTCTGTTAGAAAACAAACACTAGGAAAAGACGCAGGGTGGCGCTGCAGACTTAGAAGTAGAATAAGCAAAGCAATCAGCTGAAGGTATTAGGTTGTTACTCAGCTGAAGAAGCCAGCAGGAAGAAGAGGCTTTCTAGGGCGGTCACTCTGGGAAATCAGGCTGCTGGACTGTCTGTAAGACACTGGGATTTACTGTCAGCGGTAATGGGAGACAGAGCTGGAGCGAGTCTGCAGATACACCAGAAGGTGATGGAGGCCAGAGAGAGAAAGGAGCTCTTTCTGAAACAAAGGCAAGTCCTAATATTCTTTGTTTTGCTGGGCATAGCTCAAGCTGGTTCTGAACCTACACACTACTCAGTGGCTGAGGAAACAGAGAGTGGCTCCTTTGTGGCCAATTTGTTAAAGGATCTGGGGCTGGAGGTAGAGGAGCTAGCTTCCAGGGGTGTCCAGCTGGTATCTAAAGGGAAAAAACTGCATTTGCATTTGGATAGGCAAACTGGGGATTTGTTGTTAAATGAGAAACTGGACCGGGAGGAGCTCTGTGGTCGAACCGAGCCCTGTGTACTACCTTTCCAGGTGTTACTGGAAAATCCTCTGCAGTTTTTCCTAGGCGAGTTATGGATTAAGGACATAAATGATCATTCCCCTGTTTTCTTAGACAACGAAATAATTTTGAAAATTCCAGAAAACACTGCTCCTGGAACTACTTTCCTAATAGAACGTGCCCAGGATTTGGATGTAGGAAGCAACAGTCTCCAAAATTATACACTCAGCCCCAATTTCTATTTCCATCTGAAATTACAAGACAGCCCTGATGGCATATTACCACAGCTGGTGCTGGAGAAAGCTCTGGATCGGGAGGAAGAGCCTGAGATCAGGCTACTCCTGACTGCCTTGGACGGTGGGAACCCACCCAGGTCCTGCACTGCCCTGGTCCGTATTGAAGTTGTGGATATCAATGACAACGCCCCCGAGTTTACAAAGCTTCTCTATGAGTTACAGGTCCCAGAGAACAGCCCTGTTGGATTTCAGGTTGCCACGGTCTCTGCTAGGGATTTGGACATTGGTATTAATGGAGAAATAACATACATGTTTTCTCAAGCTTCTGAAGATATCCGAAAAACATTTCAGATAAATACAAAATCGGGAGAACTCCTTTTAGCACAGAAATTGGATTTTGAATCCATTCAGATGTACACCGTAAATATTCAGGCAATAGACGGTGGAGGGCTTACTGGAAGTTGTGTGGTGCTTGTCCAAGTGATGGATCTGAATGACAATCCTCCTGAACTGAGCATGTCCTCACTTACCAATCAGATCCCAGAAAACCTGATGGAAACTGTAATTGCTGTATTCAGTGTTTCAGATCCTGACTCAGGAGATAATGGAAGGATGATGTGCTCCATCCCAGAAGATCTTCCCTTTCTTCTCAAACCCTCAGTTGAAAATTTTTACACAATTGTGACAAACTCAGCGCTGGACCGAGAGACCAACTCTGAGTACAATATCACCATCACTGTAACCGACTTGGGAACTCCCAGGCTGCAAACCCAGCACACCTTCACCCTGCAGGTGTCTGACGTGAACGACAACGCCCCCGAATTCACGCAGTCGTCCTACACCCTGTGGGTCCGCGAGAACAACAGCCCCGCCCTGCACATTGGCACCATCAGCGCCACAGACAGAGACTCGGGCAGCAACGCCCAGCTGACCTACTCGCTGCTGCCCGGCCCGCAGCCCGGCGCCGACGCGGCGGCGGCGCTGGTGTCCATCAACGCGGACAGCGGGCAGCTGTTCGCCCTGAGGGCGCTGGACTATGAGGCCCTGCAGGCGTTCGAGGTGCGCGTGCGCGCCGCCGACCGCGGCTCGCCCCCGCTCAGCAGCCAGGCGCTGGTGCGCGTGCAGGTGCTGGACGCCAACGACAACTCGCCCTTCGTGCTGTACCCGCTGCAGAACGCGTCTGCGCCCTGCACCGAGCTGCTGCCCAGGGCGGCCGAGCCGGGCTACCTGGTGAGCAAGGTGGTGGCGGTGGACCGCGACTCGGGCCAGAACGCCTGGCTGTCGTTCCAGCTGCTCAAGGCCACGGAGCCCGGGCTGTTCAGCGTGTGGCCGCACAATGGCGAGGTGCGCACCGCCAGGCTGCTGAGCGAGCGCGACGCGCCCAAGCACAGGCTGCTGCTGCTGGTCAAGGACAATGGCGAGCCGCCGCGCTCGGCCAGCGTCACGCTGCACGTGCTGCTGGTGGATGGCTTCTCGCAGCCCTACCTGCCGCTGCCCGACGCGGCGGCGCCCGAGCGCGCGCAGCCCGACCGCCTCACTGCCTACTTGGTCATCGCGCTGGCGGCCGTGTCTTCTCTCTTCCTCTTGTCTCTGCTGCTCTTCGTGGCCGCCAGGCTGTGCAGGAGGAGCAGGGCGCGCTCGCTGGCCGGCTGCGCGCTGCCCGATGGCCCCTTGCCTGGACACCTGCTGGATGTGAGTGGCACGGGGACCCTGGCCCACAGCTACCAGTATGAGGTGTGTCTGCAGGGAGGTGCTGGCACTAATGAGTTCAAATTCCTGAAGCCTATCATCCCCAATCTCCAGCCCCAGGGCTCTGGTGAAGAAATGGGAGAAAATATTGTAGTCCGAAATAGCTTTGGATTCCAATAGAGGTCTGTCTGGCTATGATAAAGTATTCTTTCTATTTGGGATCCAACCCAGACAGGGATTTTTAATGTGTTATAGAAAATTTTGCACTCAGAAATAAGTGGACGTTGCCCACAAGGACTCTGGCCCACACTACCTGTGAGGTGTACCTGATGAGAGGACCTGGCACCAGTGAAGTCAACTTCTTGACTCCAAGCATCTCCATCCTTTCTCAGGGTGCAAAAGAATTTATGATGAAAATCTGTTTTAGTAATAGCTTTGGATTCTCTCTCTCTCTTTCTCGTTTACTGTTTTGCTCATACTTATTTGAAAGCATCTTATTCTAATTCTTCTCGTTACTTAGTATTTCTAAATGTATGGCTTTTGTAGTTCAATGAATATGAATTTGGTTGTATTTTGATTTTGATTAGTATGGCAACCTAGTTATATTTAAAGTATGAATGTAAATTTTGTACTTCTGGAACTCTTTCATTTTTAGTTAGAGAGGCTTTTCTGAAAGTCAACTTCCCAGTTCCTTGGTAAGTTCAAAGGCTTATATTTTAAAAAACAACAACATTATTGCAGTACATGGGTTGAAATTTTGAAGCCCAGAATATTTTTGTTTTATCACTTTAGGCTGTGTGTCTTCGCATTGTTCTCTGTAACTGTTTACAGGGGTATAATCATGAATAACATAACACCTTTATTGTATTTATCTAAAAGCATATCTTAAATGACAACATGTAAAAGTTATTACTTCTTTAGAAGCTTTGAGGAGCCTAATTGTTTGAATCCACAGACTATTCACTTTATGAATGTCCGTTTTTGTAAAAAAAAAAAAGTGAAGTGGACACAGTTGCTTATTCTTATCATTCTAGTAACTCAGAGCACAGTTGCTCATTCTTATCATTCTAATAACTCAGGTAGAGTCTGGAGGAACTGAAGTTTAAGGTCAGCTCGAACAAAAAGTTATTGAGATCTCCATCTCATTATTTTTTTAAGTTTGTCTTGGAGTCACATACCTGTCATCTTGGCTATACCTAGGCATAGTTACAAGGATATTGGTCTGAGGCATGCTCTGTGAAAGTTTAAGTAATGCAAAACAACTGCAGCAACAAACAAACAAACAAAAAGAACTCTGATTAATCCAGTCCTCTTTTTAAATATCCATTTGAATTATTAGAAACCTTTTACTAATTCTGACTCCCTCCACAAAAGTTAAAAAAATACATGTAATATGTGTTTATTCTTTACCAACTTAAGAAACTTTTGTTCTTTTCAAGAATTTCTGGAAGCATTTAGGATTCAATAAGAAATCAGCCTGTGTTAGAGTGTAGATAGATGCACTCACTCACTCACTCTACTCACACGCGAGATAGCTATCTATCTATCTATCTATCTATCTATCTATCTATCTATCTGTCTGTCTGTCTGTCTGTCTATCTGTCTGTCTGTCTGTCTGTCTGTCTGTCTGTCTGTCTATTTATCTATACCTCCTTCAGTTCTCTAGACTTTTCGATGCTTTATAAAAAGTGTTTGCATTATGTTTATGAATATCTCCACATTTATTGCATGATTAACATAGTCACTAAGGCATTTTAGGTTCTACTTAAAATTTCTGAATGATTGAAAAGTAGTTATTTCACTTGGTATGCATTAATACTTAAATATGCTAAAATAGTTAATGAACAAAATTTGCTGGAATTAAATGCTTTGTGATACACAATGAATTGTGTCATTTTGTTATAATTGAACTGTTTAAATAAGTGTTATTTAAACATTATCCAGAGCCAGGTGCAGGTGGCTCACGCCTGTAATCCTAGCTACTCAGGAGGCTGAGATCTGAGGATCATGGTTCAAAGCCAGCCCAGGCAGGAAAGTCCCTGAGACTCTTATCTCTAATAAACCACTAGAAAACCGGAAGTGGCACTGAGGCTTAAGCGATAGAGCACTTGCCTTGAGCTGAAGAGCTCAGGGACAGTGCCCAGGGCCAGAATTCAAGCCCCACAATGGACAAAAAAAAAACCAAAACAAACCAAAACAAAACAAAATTATCCAGTTATCAGTCCCCATTGTTTTTCCTCTTATTGCTTTTATTTTCTTTTTTTCTGTTTCTTTTTGTTGGTTGTTGGGCCTGAACTCTGGGCCTGGGTGCTGTCCCTCAGCTCATCAGCTCAAGGCTAATGCTCTACCACTTGAGCCATAGAGCCACTTCCAGCTTTTTCTGCTTATGTGGTGCTGAGGAATGGAACCCAGGGCCTCATGCATGCAAGGCAAGCGCTCTACCACTGAGCCACCTTCCCAGCTCATCTACTTATTGCCTTTTGAATCTCTTTTCCTATCCACTAGTTTTTTTTTGGGGGGTTTTTGGTTGTTGGGTCTGAACTCTGGGCCTGGGCGCTGTCCCTCAGCTCTTCAGCTCAAGACTAGCACTCTACCACTTGAGCCACAGTGCCACTTCTGGCTTTTTTCTTTTTGCTTATGTGGTGCTGAGGAATGGAACCCAGGGCCTCATTCATGCAAGGCAAGCGCTCTACCACTGAGCCACCTTCCCAGCCCTATCCACTGGTTTATAGATGGAGAAATTGGGACATTCAGTTTTATAATTTAAAAATAAATGACACATGAAAATTTCTTTTCTTACAGTTTAATTTCTGATCAACCTCTTACATGAATTTTAATTATTTTGTTATTCAGCCTATCTTTACTTTTTATATTATTTTCACGTTTGACCTATATTATTAAAATTATAATTTGGAGATCTCATTTTGAGATCTCCAGTGACACTGAGTTCTACCTTGGCATTGGAAGTCTTTAGCCACTAATTCCCTCTAGGATCTTAGGTCACAATCCTGCTCCCATGACAATAGCTATTTCAATACCTTGCAGTTATAGTCCAATAAAATAACATAAAGTTATAGAAGGATAATTGGAATTATTTTCAGTATCTTCAGCATCAGAAGTAAAGTCAATAGATGAGCTAGTACATAGCATTCCTGATAATTGTGTAGAAATACAAATGAAGTTATATTGAACACATATATTTGTGTTGTTTCATTTGTCTTCCTTACAGATGTCTCTTTTTGTTCTTAAAATAAAGTGCATGTGCCCATTATTTGGACTGACTTTACCTCTTCACCCTTTTCACTTACTCTTGAAAATAAGGTTCTGGGTATTCTCTGCTTTCTTATTACCCAAAATGGTTGTACTTTGTTCTTCCAGGACCTTCACATTCTTTGTAGTCAGCTGATACACTAATCATCCTTCAGGACCCAGATTAAATGGTGGAACTTTAGTGAAGTCTTCTTAGCAATCCTCATTAAGTTAAGGCCTCCCTCATGCATGCTTTCAGTGCATTCATTTTATCTCCTCTATAAAGCTTTCATACTTTTGAACATTTGTTTAAAGTACATATATCTCCTTTGATGTAAGATAGTATATGATTTTAGACATTGGCTCTTTCTGCCCTATGCCTAGTTTTCTACAAATTCAATAATAACCTATGCAGAATAGCTAGTTGTAATATTACTGTTTAATAAGGAGAGGAAAAGGCCCTCTAAAGTGTTTCTCGTATGCATGTATGTGTGCATGCCCACTAGTTTTGAGACTTGATCTCCAGATCCTGGTCACTGTTCTTGAGCTTTTATGCTCAAGGTTAGTACTGTAAATTTGAGTCAGAGCTCCACCTCTGGCTTTTGGATGGTTAGTTGGAGATAAGATTCTTGTGGACTTCCTGCCCTAGTTGCCTGTGAATCACAATTCTTAGATATCAGCTTCCCAAGTAAGATTATAGGAGTGAGCCATTGGTGCCTGGCTCTAAAGTGTTTCTTAGAAATGAAAAAGTGTAAGCAATTGGGCATTTGCTACCCTCTAGATGGACTGTGAAACAATCTGCCATAATTTCTTTCCCAACTTGCTTTCTCATAGTGTTTTTATTATTATAAATGCAACTTATGGCTGGGAAGGTGGCTCAGTGGCAGAGGGCTTGCCTTGCATTTATGAGGCCATGGGTTCGATTCCTCAGTACCACATAAGCAGAAAAAGCCTGAAGTGGCACTGTGGCTCAAGTGATAGAGTGCTAACCTTGAGCTGAAGAGCTTAGGGACAGCGCCCAGGCCCAGAGTTCAAGCCCCACGACCAAAAAAAAAAAAGCAACTCGTATTTATTAAACAAAATGGAAAATTAAATCACACATAGGATAGTTAAGTATGGCATCATTTAAAACAAAGCCTTTTACATTTATGTATAATAAATATAGATGAAAGGTAGTAGCATTATCAGCATGTATAGACTCTTACAAAATCATGTAAATCAGGGCTCTTTCAGGGATTCCATCTTCATTTAGAGGAGTTATTTTCCATAAGTTGCGCTTACTTATGTGACACCAGAAGTTCCTCCAATAGTCAACTGGGTTTGATAACGACAATGAACAAAATTACTTTCTCTAAAAAATTTTAAACTGCCAATGAACGCATGGTGGCGCTGTTGACTAAAAAAGGAGAATTACACTGTCTTCCTCTGACGCACCAATCCAGTCGGAGAAAGCCGGGAGTGTGAACCTGGGCAGAAGGATCAACCAGCTTATCTGAGCCTCTGGAAAACATTATTTTGCTAAGCCATCGGCACAAGCTGAGGTATAAAACGCTTTTCCCAACACCTCTGAGGCTGGATTTAGCGACGGTTCCTTCTGGAAGAAGAAGGCAGGAAGTAAAATGGAGGCTGGAGGGGAGCGCTTTCTTAAACAAAGGCAAGTCCTGCTTCTCTTTATTTTTCTTGGTGGGTCCTTGGCTGGGTCAGAATTGAAACGCTATTTTGTGACTGAGGAAAGTGAGAGGGGCTTTTTAATAACCAATCTAGCAAAGGATGTGGGGCTGAGGGTGGACGAATTGGCCACAAGGGTGGCCCAAGTTGCATCCAAAGGGAACAAACAGCATTTTCAGCTCAATTATCAGACCGGTGATTTGCTCCTGAATGAGCAGTTAGACCGAGAGGAGCTTTGCGGTTCCACGGAGCCATGTATACTGCCGTTTCAGGTGTTACTGCAAAACCCTTTTCAGTTGATTACAAATGAGCTCCAAGTCATAGATATTAATGATCATTCGCCAGTATTCTTTGAGAACGAAATGCAGGTGAAAATCCTAGAAAGCGCCCCACCAGGAACAGCAATTCCTTTGGGAAATGCTGAGGACCTGGATGTGGGAAGAAACAGTCTCCAAGACTACACCCTGGCTCCCAATTCCCACTTCCATGTCGTCACACAGCGTCGCAGGGACGGAAGGAAATATCCGGAGCTAGTACTGGACAAAGCGCTAGATCGGGAGGACCAGCCAGAGCTTACTTTAGTCCTCACAGCGCTGGATGGCGGCTCTCCTCCAAGGTTCGGGACGGCCCAGATCTACATCTTAGTCTTAGACATCAACGACAACGCCCCCGAATTTGCACAGTCACTCCACCAGGTTCAGATTCCAGAAAACACTCCTGTCAACTCTGTCATTACTACAGTCTCTGCTTCTGATTTAGACACAGGAAATTATGGGGAGGTTTCATATGCCTTTTTTCACGCTTCAGAAGAAATTCTCAAAACTTTTCAACTAAATCCAATTACTGGTGATATGCAACTAGTTAAATGTCTGGATTATGAAACAATTAGTACTTACGAAATAGATATAGAGGCCAAGGACGGAGGAGGCCTTTCAGGAAAATGTACAGTCATAGTTGATGTGATTGATGTTAATGACAACCCACCAGAATTAACCATGTCGTCAGTTAACAGTCCTATTTCAGAGAATTTGGCAGAGACTGTGGTAGCGATTTTCAGCGTTTCAGATCTAGACTCGGGAGACAATGGAAAAATTAAGTGTTCCATCCAGAATGATCTCCCTTTTGTCCTGAAACCCTCTGTACAGAACTTTTACACCTTAGTGACTGAGAGCCCACTGGACAGAGAAAGCACTGCTGAGTACAACATCACCATCACCGTCACCGACTTGGGAACTCCCAGGCTGCAAACCCAGCACACCTTCACCCTGCAGGTGTCCGACATGAACGACAACGCCCCCGAATTCACGCAGTCGTCCTACACCCTGTGGGTCCGCGAGAACAACAGCCCCGCCCTGCACATTGGCACCATCAGCGCCACAGACAGAGACTCGGGCAGCAACGCCCAGCTGACCTACTCGCTGCTGCCCGGCCCGCAGCCCGGCGCCGACGCGGC